TCTCAAATTTGGTCCTCTGATTCTATCTTCGTAGGGTGTAGGTTTGTGGATGAGTTGTTGATCCAAAAGGGCCTTCGGGGCTTGATCTAAGGATGAACAGTTGATGAACGGATGAACACTTTCTTCAAGGGCCGTCGGGGCTTGATCTTGAATAATGGTTGTGTGGATTTCTTCAAGGGCTTTTGGGCTTGATCTTGAAGGTTGATGGATGAGCGGATCTTCAAGGGCTTTTGAGCTTAATCTTGAAGAACGATTGGATGTGTGGATTTGTTGAGGTTGTTGATCCAAAGGGCCGTTAGGGCTTGATCTTAGGATGAACAGTTGATGAACAATGAACACTTTCTTCAAGGGCCGTCGGGGCTTGATCTTGAGTTGGTGGAAGTTCTTCAAGGGCCGTTGGGGCTTGATCTTGAAGGAGGATTTGACGAAGAACGAAGAGTGCTTTCTTGATCCTTCGGAATTCTTGGGAATTTGGATGCTCGAGAGCTTTGGAGTTTCAAAGCTTCAAGGATTTGGGGAATTCTCTTCCAATTTGGGAGTAGAGAAATGTATTTGTGAATTCCTTGATGCTTGATACCTTGATGGAGAAGCCTATTTATAGGCTTTGAGAATGAATCACCACCACAAAATATTTTTTTTCCTTTCCAAGCACCATTGCCTAATTTTCCCACTTAATGCAATATTGAAATTGAAGTGGTGTAACTTATGGCCTAATTTCCCACTTAATACCATTTTAAACTTGAAGTGGTCTAACTTATGGCCTAATTTCCCACTTAACACCATTTTAAACTTGAAATGTGTATGCTTTGTCATTGCCCAAATGAGAAAAACTTACTTTGATCCGTAATGGATTGAAGTGTGCTTGCCTTGTCATTGCCCAACATGAGAAGAAAAAACTTGTTTTGATCCTCAATGGATTGAAATGTGCTTACCTTGTCATTGCCCAAATTGAGAAGAAAAAACTTGTTTAATCATCCAAGGGTATTTCTTCCTATTTTGTTGAGTCATATGCCATGTGTACAATTTGTACAACACGTGGCGTATGTCATGTATGCCTTGACACGTCAAAACTTTAATGCGTTGGTGAGCATTTGTTTTTACTGAAATTTCGATGTCTACAGTACCATCTCATGTGCCGGTCGTATTGAAAAATCTTTAGTTGAAAAGGGGTTTTTAGATTTATCATTCTTGTGTAGGTTTCTACTTTTTTACTTAGGATTGATAAGAAAGATATATTCAGAAACTTATGTTTCGTTTGCTGAAAATTACATTTAAAAACCTGTGTTTTACATACTGTTGTCCATATGTCAAATCATTTATAACTATTCGCCCTTAATGCGTGTTTGTGGAGTTAAAAAAATCGATCTACACTAACTTAACGTTCAACTATACAAATATATACTCAATTGGAATATTTATAAAACACCATTGTCGTAGCTTATTGAATTTAGTCTTTTGAAACGTTTTTCACCACTTCAAAGGCTATTATATACAATTTAGTTAAATTAATTTACCATGTTTATAGAGTGAAAAAATGGATTCATTGATCGATCCACACAAGATTTGGGATTCTGGATCAAGAGTCCCAAAGTGTTAGGGTGCATCAATCTTTTTTTTTTTTTTTTGTTTTTGTTTCAAAGTGCTCGCTCACCCCCATACATTATTTTGGGCTCAACAATAAGAGGTTTCAAAGAAACAATAAGCGACGAAAGTTCTAACGGAATTATCAAAAAGACCATAAGGTCATCTCCAACAGACCTGATCAAAGGGTCATAGGGCTAAAAATAGTTCGGAATGACACAAAAATTGTCTCCAACCAAGGGCTAGGCCAAAGGGCTTGTGGGCCCCACCAGGCCAAAACCCCAAATCAGGCATGCGGGTTAGCCATTTCCAGCTAGCCCTCCAGCGCCATAATGTCAAGTTTGACATTTTACCAACCCTCCAGCTCAGCCCATTTGAATGCCAAAGGTTATTTGACGTTAGACCCTTCAATTAAAATAACTATATTAATTCAATTAAAATAATAAATTATGTTTTGACTATGGCCCCCTCGTTTGGAGATGATTTTCTATCAAAGGGTTATATTTGGCATATGACCCTTTAGCCCCTCAATTGGCAATTCAGCCAAACTTGAAGGACCTATACTCTAATTATCCCAAAAATCGTTTATGGCAGTTAACGCCGTGTCGTTTTGGGGTTTGCTGACCGAAGGTCTGGTCGTTGGCACGCATCGCGCTTCATGCGCAGACTAAGAGGGGTGATTACGACTGCCACTCAATACTGAGCTCATCGTTCGATCGATGGTCGCTCCCATTCTTTCGTGCTTTGTAGGGCGTTGCAGCTGAAGACTAATCTGAATTGTATGGACTGTTTAGCGGGCGTTGCACATGCCCCGGCTGCTGCTATCTTGCGCCGATCGGTCCTCTACACCACTTCAAGAAGGGGGGATAGAAATGGCGGGTTGAAGTTGCGAGCCAAAATCGTCGAGGAAAACGACCCATTACTTCAATCTGCCATTGATTCGGCTTCTCTTCGTTTCCGGGAGACCCATCGACCAAGTAAACCCATATCCCAAAGAATTTCGTATTTGCCATTTTGTTTTTTCATTGGGTCATTTCGTCAAACAGTTGGATGATTCGTGTTCAGTGACGCGCAGAATTTCGAAAGATGAAATTTTTATTTAAATTTGTCAAATTTATAAGTTTTTGATTAATAATTTCGTGTGCAGAGCCTCTGTTTGTTGATCCGTATGCTGGTTGCTTTGTTCCTCCTAATGCTCAGATGGACATGATGCAATGCTCACATCATTATTGCGTTGCTACTAAATTCATGGACGACAAGTTGCTTCGAACAGTAAACCATATCGATGGATTAAAGCAGGTAGTTAGTCTTTTTCTTGAAGTAGCAATTCCTACCTGACACTGCCTGCCAATCACAATTCGACGTTTGTATTTTTGATGAGTTATTTCTGCATATGTGTCGAAATGCATCTAAACCATATTGATAGATTAAAGCAGGTAGTTAAGCCTTTTCTTGAAGTAGCAATTCCTACCTGACAATGCCTTCCAATCACAATTCGACGTTTGTGATTTTGATGAGTTATTTCTGCATATGTGTCGAAATGCATCTTGTAGAAAGAAGGAAGGGCTCCTTGAGTGTCTTTTTTATTGTTTAAGTGGAGATCGGTTAAACTTCATGGACTTGTTCCTTATCACTCCTTTGTTTCAATGTATTCTTCTTGGGAGTGCAGGTTGTTTTGCTAACCGATGGAATGGATACCCGCCCATATAGGCTTAGTTGGCCAACTTCAACCATTATATTCAATGTTTCTCCGGAACTGGTGTTCAAAAGAGCAGCCGAGAAGCTTCAAGGTGATTGCAAACTTACAATATGAACTGTTCGCAATTAAGAGTAGTTAAAGATTTGCAGCCTAGTTGAAGTAGGGAATTTTTGTTGTGACATTATCCCAAGTTCTTTCGTTATTGCACATCTTAAGAATTTACTCTCATATCGTGGGAATCGATTATTTTGTTGGTACAGATTTTGTGCCATTCTAAATCCTCAGTAAGTTCAAACTTTTCGGGATTTGTTTTATTATGCATTATCAGCTTATTTTTATTAAGTAGGCAATGCAGAAAGTTCTTATAATGCTATCTTTAATCCCTCAGGTGTTGGGGCTAAGATTCCTAGAAGCTGCTTATCCCTTCATGTTCCTTTGGAATCCTCCGACATACAGAAAAGTCTGTGTGCTAAAGGGTTTAATGACAATCAACCTAGCATTTGGGCCATGCAGGTATGTATCTGCTAATCATTCGTTAGTTATATTCTCATGTGTAGCTATAATGGTTAGTGTTTTAGTAAGTAGGAAAATCATGTTGCTGTGTTATTGCAGGGGCTTCCTTTGATGACATTAGCAAATTTTGAAGATATTTTGCTCACTGTAAGTGGTTTGGCGATGAACGGATGTTTTTTCTTGGGAGAATTACCTGCTTGGTTGGCAGAAACTGAAATAGGGACCAAGGTCAGTTTGATTATATCAAGTGCGACTCAATATCGCAATTGCTTCTCTGTCAATAAAGAAAGACATCACCTGTTTCCTTTTCTCATCGACAGACTAGTGCAAGGACATGGTTGGAGAAACTATTCATGAACAATGGGTTTCGGGTGGACATGATTTGTTTTGATGAAGTTGCAAGGAGTTTAGGCAAGGAATTAGCACCGGGAAGGTATAAGAATATACTATTTTCTGCAGAACAACTTCGGTTTTCTGATGATCAGGTAACATGCTACTCAATTCGTCCTCTCTTCATATTCGGACTTTGTAGGTTTTTTCCCTGCATTTCCTCATAAGTTACTAATTAGAATCTGTACCATTTGTCTGTCAGACGCTGAAATTTTATTGTTGACAGATGAAACTTGGAGGAAGGAATTCTTGAGAACCGAGGAAGAAGGGGACGAGGAAGGTTTCGAAGAGCTCTAACACAACTAGGTATTTAGGCTACGGGCCTGAGATGACAGATTTTGCTTCTTATTTTATGGTCTTGCTTTAACCACGCCACATTGTAAATAATTTGTACTCAAATTTTGGTTGATCTTTCTCTTGCCTTGTATAATTTTTTTTTTTTGTATGTTAATAAACTTGATTTATTTGTTACACGCGTAAAACGAAGTCTTATACATGACGTACTCAATGGAAGCTGGAGTTGATTCCTTAATTCCGTCTACAAAAGAAGTTCGGGGAATATACACAAATTGAACCGGTTACAAACTTGTTTACAACATGATAAATTCATTATCCAACAAGTTGTTCACACATTTATATACAACGATTCTGAAGTATACAACTGAAAACTGAAAAAACCGCATGCAACCAAAACTCGACTTCGGACTCTCAATCTTAACTGCAAGCTGCTAAGAGCCAAGGATTCCAAGCCACCAATCAAAATTACCAACCTAATTGCCATTTGATTTGGGTCGAGAAGTTGGAACACACATTGACAACGAGCATGGGTCTCTCACTCACAAGTCAACGAGCATGGTCGGACCTCAGAAAGCTGCCGCGTGAAAATCTCTCTTGAACTTAAGAGGAAAAGATGAATCTTCCAGTGCACACATGGCGTACTGCAGAAACTAGCAGGAGGCACCTTTGAAGCAGTTGAGTAGAAAAGATGCTATTGTTGGTTCAAAACAGAAAGTGTAGGCTGTGGTCTGACAACATTCAGCACGCCTCTCGCTGTTGCCTGTTAGAAATAGGAATAATGAATGGTTAGGAAACTGTGGTGCAAAAATTGAAGAATCTGTGATGAGCGTTGCTATATGGGATTGATTGCCTCAAAGAAGGAGTTGAAGTTGAGACGCATAAGAAACCGCCTTAGAAATGGGGCTCGCTGGCTCCCAACAAGCCTACTACTGTGCAATATCGTGTATAGGGAGTTTGATTTGTTGTTAAATACCTGAACAATGTAAAAGAAAACAGTTTGAATATGAAGTCAACAAGTAATAATCACAAACCCATGTCCTTAACACACAACGAAGTCTAGTGAAAGCGTAACTTGTAACCCAACTATCAAATTATGCAGGGATTAGTCAATTCCCAGGATAGTTGCAGCAATATGTGGAAATTATTCTTCACAATATTTCAAGAGAATATTTCCTCAAACCTCGATAATGTGTTCCAATTCAGATGTATTTGCACTGCTTTCTTGGTTCTCGATGTTCCAGCAGAACTGAAGGCAAAGTTTCATTATGCTGTCCAGGATCCTCGATAAAGAGCCAATGTCTAAGAAAGATTGTGAAATTAAAGCTGATAAATACCTGTAGGAAGTTTTAGAATTCAATGAGCATTATACTGTAATATAAATCATGGACATAGTATGACTTGGGAAATCAAACAGAGAAAGAAGAAATAATTTATTCGACTTACTCCTGATGGACCGCCACAAGTCCAGTAAAGTCATGAGAATCTTGGATATGAGCTTGCAAAGCGTTCCATTGGGATTCTATCATATCCACCTGAAATAGAAAGTACTTTAGGTTATGTGCCGATTTTGTTCTATACTGCTTGGTTTTCTCCATCAGTTAACATGTATGATAAGAATAATAAGAGTGAGAAAGTACAGAGCGCTTTTCTTCTGCATAGTTTATGCACAACGAAACTCTGACAATTATGAGTATCCGGAAGTGAAAGTTAAATGAAATAAACCCTAACCTGTATATAAAATTGAAGATTTCTAATCAAGAAAGCCATATGCTCTCTAATATGCCACATTGGTCTAGATCTCTGCCTTCGCCGCTGAAATACTGAACACTTTTCATAATCATTCTGATGCTTGGCAAAATCTGTGTGATCTTGTTGCATCACAGAGGCCCACGATTTCTCCAGTTCCATTTGTGTACGATTGAGCCGCAGTAGATACTGGAAGACCCTGCAGTACCTGGTGCACATTTTCTGTTAGCATGCATGTGCATATAAGAAGTTCAATAGTTCAGATAATAATCAAATATTTCAGCGAATAGAAAAACCATTACAAAATTTTAAGGACTGTTTCCCAACTTTATTGAAACTAAAGGAAATATGAAAGAAATAATGGCATCCGTATGTAGCAGTAACAGTAGAGTCTTACTTAGAGAGCACCTCTGGAGTAAAGAACAACTGTAAGGGCCAATCAACAGAGTATTCAAGAGCAATTCCATCCCAACAGTCAAGAGATACTTCTGAGGAAGCACTTGGGCCAGATTTCCCATCTGCCTTTTGTAAATCTCCTTTGGAGGATTTTACTGTCATTCCAAATGAAGGCATCCTAGCAGATACAGACAGATAACTGAATAAACACTTTTTATGAAACCTCATAGTCAAATGACCGGTAACAAAATGGCTATATGGTCGAAATTTATACAATTTAGACACTAGGAAGTTAGGAACAATCAAATACAGACTCTAACCTTAAGGATACTCTTGAGAAATACCTGTCTTACTCACCTATAGTCTTAATTGCAGCCTGCTTTGGAAGTATTGCAAAATAAGTTGATGCTGTCACATCCCGGCCCGGGGCGGATCACTTCCCGGGCCCACTCCACCACCGTAGCACGATATTGTCCGCTTTGGGCTTACCATTCCCTCACGGTTTTGTTTTTGGGAACTCACGAGCAACTTCCCAGTGGGTCACCCATCATGGGATTGCTCTAACCCCCTTCTCGCTTAACTTCGGAGTTCCTACGGAACCCGAAGCCAGTGAGCTCCCAAAAGGCCTCGTGCTAGGTAAGGATGGGAATATACATTTAAGGATCACCAAACTATAGCACCGAAGCTCGCAACATATCCTCCAAAGTCTGAATAGTTCTCTCTGACTGTCCGTCCATCTGAGGATGATACGCCGTACTATAAAGTAGTCTCGTACCCAAAGCTTCCTGAAACGCCACCCAAAACCCATGAAAACTTCACAGATCGAAGAAACAAAGTACATATCCATGCTCGTGACGGCCAACATGCCCTGATCTCGATCGGGGTGTGTCAGATGCCAACCACTAGAATTCATTTGAAAAATGAGCCATATCAACGCAATTAATACCTCACAATTTCAAAATAATCTTACCAGCTCAAATGGGACCATAAGGTCAGCCTCTGCAGTTGACTGGCGAGGAGGTAGGCGCATCAACTGGCGACTCTCTTCAAGAAAGCACTACCATAATAAATCATGTCTAATTAGGATACACTATAGGTGTTCATAAGAACTAAGAGAAATAGCAATTTCCAGTTTCATTTATACGTTCAGGGAAGGAATACACCATCACCCCTGCCAAAACAAAATTTGGACTGTCTGTACCTAAAACATAGAAGTCAGCAGTCTTTAGATATATTCCATCTTTACCTGAAAGAAATCTCCTTTTGCTAAAAGAAAATAGTCTTTTAGTGCCTTCAGATGGCCATTTAAGTCAGCGTGTACAACCACAAGCTGCAGAAATTGAAGGAACACATTAAATTTTTTGTTATAGAACATGGCGGGACCAAATTGTTCACATTCAGCACCTGCCAAAGACGACTGGCAGCAACAGCCCTAATTGAATCGACAGCACATTCAAAAGATCTTTTGTGAAACTCAGATGATTCCTGCACATAATGAACAAATAAATTTACCCATAATTGAAGTTTGTAGTAAGAGATATCGCTTACATAAGGACACAAATATAAAGATTGTCAAGATACATCTTATACACCATCTTTCACGTAAGCGGTGACATGATAGAGTTAGCAAGAATACAAAGTGATAATAGTGTTAAAAGAAAACCTTTAGTTCCAGAAGCATAGTTTCAATCTTACCAGCCTCATACTGTGGAAGCAATTCTTCTCCAATCAATTCTTTATCCGCAAAAGGGTCTTTGAGGAAAGGAGATTTTCCTGAAAATACTTGAACTTTCAGAGAGCCTCTAGGGACCTGTTGAGGATATACAATGTCCTGGAGCCGAAAGGCATGACTCGGATTGCGAAGCACCCTGATAGCCTTTCCAGAAAATAAAATTGATTCTGCAGCACGCATATGGATATACTCGGGCAGCATATCCTACAAAAAGAAAAGGTAAGACAATGCAACGTGTAAGTATCAAAGTTCCAAACTTCGTTTCTTTTTGAGGCAGTACTAACAAAAATTGAAGTCCTTGCTAACGTGTAAGTATCAGATCGCCGGTGTAGCCGAGCAGCATTGTTGCTTCTTCTTCCTCTGTGAATTAGAATTGAGAGATTGGTTGGACTCGAACGCTGGGCGGCGGGAAGATGGAGACGCATAAAACGGCGCCGTTCGGCTCGGTAGTTTGGCGGGCTTTTGGGAAACTGGCCGTATTTTACTTGAAGGAAAACACCGGGGTGGGCTTTTGGACTTTCAAGATTTTAAGCGGTTTTTTTTAGGTATTTTAACGAAAAACTACCGGTATTGTTCACTTGAAGATGATACTATTCATTTTACCTTTTATTTTTTCTTTATTGTTAAAACTCAAAATTTTCAAACCTTTTTTATTAATTTTTTTTTAATTCAGAATTTAACTATACTTCTTTTATATTTATATTTACACAAGTAATATTTTCTACGATTTAAATTTGGCGAAAGAAACACACTTCTCTAACCAACCGTTTACTTGAAATTTGAATTCAAGCAAAATGAATTAATAAAAGGCGTACACAAGAAGTTAAAAATATGTTAAGAGTTAAATGATTGTTATATGACAAAAGATAAGTGAAGTGGCGAATTCATTATTTCCTCTTGCAGTAACACTTGAGCCAGTAGGGCACCTTGTTCGAACATGGTTAGCAAGCTACGATGACAAATGGATCGTTTGAAAGTGTTCTTAAAATGACTGAAAGTTCTTTTGATAAAAACTTTTTTTGAAACTAATCATTTGTAAAAACACAAGTGCATCTAAAAAAGTACTTGAAGTGCTTCCTACTAGAGCTTTTGAAACTCAAAAAGAGTTCGCTTTCAATCAATTTAAAAACACTTTTAAACGCCCTAAAACATGTTTGAACTTAAACATGAACAAGTCAGTTAAAATAAGAAGGAAAAGGACAATGGTAAAATGACATCCTCTTCAGTAAATTTAGTTCCAAGAACTTGTGAAAAATGAAAACACAAATACAATAACACAGCATGTATACTACAGCAGTAAAATTCAAATTAGGTTTTCCTAAAATGTTAAATAGCTTTAATATATAGCTGATACAGTTTCTACCAAACTACTGCATGCAACACAGGAGAAGAGAAAAGAATAAAAGATACAAAAATTATGGCAATTGAATTTCAACCAGCACGTACAGATTAAGTATCCCAGCTCGATCTGTCTTCTCTTCTCACTAGTTCATCTTCCAAAACGTAGAAAATTGATGACGCTTACGCCATGGAAAGAATGGAACTGGAAAAAAATTACCCGAAAACAGTTTTGCATTAATCAACTCTTGAGCTTAGTCTTCACCTTTGTCACAATTTTGTCGCTACCGCTTTTACTCTTGTTACTCTTATTCTTCTTTTTCTGTTTCTTTCCACTCTGTTTGTGATCCTCTACTTTTCCTTGAGGATTCACCTCCTCAAACTCGACCGGTCTTATAATTACACCGGGTCTCTTCATCACCTGCACACAATTGCATTTAAGGTGAGGAATGAGAAGCGCCATAGCATCCAACATCCGGCTTAGGGAAACAAAAGACGGATCAAATGTGGTATTGAAGAATTCATCAATGGATGCAAACTCAAGCATATCCGTATGGCAAAGTAATAGATGTAAAAGAGTAATAATTCACTACAATAATAGTCAATCTCTGGTAGAATTGTAACAAGGCACTTACTTCAGGCCGATTAAGAGCTCCAACAGCACTTGCAGGGTTGAATTCAGGACCCAGGGGCATGCGAATGCTCTGTTCAAAAACTTCTTTGGATGTGAAAGGGTAAGGTAATGTTTTTGTGAAAAGTTTCTCCGCCTGTCAAATTCAAACACAAAGGACCAGTTAAGCACCAAATACAAGCAGAATCCCAGACACTTGACCATTAACCACTGCTCTGTCTACTAATTCCTATCATTCAATGTTTCCATGTGAATTCAAACATTAATTTGTATGGGATATCACCAATTTAATGAAAAGTGAATGCTACTAGGAAAAACGCATAACCTTTTTATCCAACTTTTCCGAGATAATAACACGTTTAAGATGTGCATCCTTCCTCTTTTTAAGGGTTTCTTCTCTCTTCTTCTTGGCATCTTCGTGTTCTTTTTGCATCCAAGAAGGTAAGCCTTTCTTTTTCTGTACATGAGTCCACTGACCCCAGCCAGGGAGTAAAGTCGGCTTTTCGGGTTCAGGGTTTTCCTCATTCAGAACTTCCTGTTTCTCCTTCTCAAATTCATCCTCTACATCATCCGCTGCAAAGGCTTGACGAATTAGCTCAGCTTGAGAAGGAAGGCGGTATTCATCTTTTGGATCTGAAGTAAGAAATCCATCTACCATCTGCCCCTCGCTATTTGCATCACTATCCTCATCCAAATCCTCCACACGTTCCTGTAATGGAAACATGTTTAAAGAGTTAAGCAGGGCAATCAACCATAAATGTAGAAAATCCAAATTTTCTATGTAAAGAAATCATACTTGCAGATTTTGATTCCGCTCAACTGATTCCAGGGGACGAATAGACTTTCTACCATTTGCATCCACTCTATTGCCACTTTTTATCTGCACACATCACACAAATACCAGTAATTACCAAAAAGAGAGGGGGACGGGCATATTCATCAATGAAAGACAAAAACTAACCTTTTTCCACGAGCCTGAAGCAAAAATAGAAACCTCATGTGTTGTCTTCGGACCTGGGGCTTGAACAATATCACCGAAGTTCTGTAACACCACGAAATAGAAAATTTCATGCTCATGGATCAAAAGAGAGGTGTTCAAGAAGTACAGGAAAAATTAAGAAACCGCTTTACCTTGAAAAGAGAATCGTTGTGATTTTGAGAATCTTCATGAAGTAGCGCAGCACTAATGTTGACATCCTTGTACAAATCACTACTTCTGTCTTTCTCAACATCAACATTTTCTTCGGGCTCCAAGTCATCTTCACTATCACTATTAGCATAATAATTATCTGATCTCATTTTATTGTCTGCTTTGGTCTTATTACTTGATTCTGGAGCCTTATTTTTAGATCCATTGAAGACCATTCTACCACTTGGAGGGCCCACTTTCAGATTATCTGCCCCACTTGAATCCTCCAATGGGTTTGACCATGATTCATACTCTTGAAGAGCAAGTTTAGCTTCTTCAGCAGCTGCCTCATTCTTTTTTTTCAATCCACGCACCTATGCCAAAACAAACCAGGAAGAAAATTTAACTTACAAATATAAAAGCAACCGACTAACAGCCCCTTTGTTCTGTGGTAGTTGTACATTGCTACTAGATCTTTTAATATTTCGAAACTAGCAAGAAAAAGCAAAGCTTTACCATAAAAGGTAATGAAAGCACTCCTGAGTTAGGCACTTCAGCATCATCTATCAGCACATTACGTGTCTTCTCCTTTGCTTTTTCTAACAGCTTCGCTGCCCTAGCATGGTCTGAACCAGGTGAATATACATCTATATCATCCTCGTCACTACTGTCATCACTGCTGCTGCTACTACCGTCTTTCATAGAATTCATTTTTCTTGTCAGCTGAGCATGCAGGTGCTGCTGTTCAGCTATAGCAGCCCGAGTACCTTCATCTTGGACATCTATACCACGCTCTTTGATGCGCTTTGTCCACTTGGAGCTACCTTTGTGCCTCAGAGTCATTCTTTCCTGGATCAAGTTGACAAGGGCCAAAAAGTTAACCATGTCTTGTTGCTTCTATAATCAAGAATGTTTCTTGAGGAAGTAATTCATTAAACAATACAAATAATCTACAACCTATACACGGGGAAAAAGCAATCACCTTTGCTCGTTCATACTCTTGCTTCATTGCAAGTTCTTTAGCAGCGTCTGGATCCATTTGACTTTGTGCAGATGTTGCTTTCAATCTATCTTTCTTCAACAAACGATGATAAGTTTTGGATTTGATCTTTTTTATGTGTTTTGACTTCATTTCATGACGAAAGAGAAGGCTGCGCATTTTGGCCATTCGATTATGGCGGTCTCTTTCATCTTCAGCGGATACCTGGGAAGCAAACAAGAACAAGAAAATGATAAAGTAGTTTATTTTCAATATAGACAGAAAAAGACCAAAAAGAATAAATAGGCACAGAAACATGAGAGATTATTGACAACCAAACAGAGGATACAAAAGGCTGAAAAAGTAAAGTAACAACGATCGTTGTAATAATCAAGGATGATCAAGGTGCAACTTCGTTACCGATCAAGTTAACATGAAGGTTTTATCAACTATCACAATCTCATTTCAATCATCTCAAAGAACTTTTAGTGTCACGTCGACATTTGCCAGATGAATTAGCAACAGATGACACTAAGTTTCCGAAAATTATCTTATAAGACAATAAATTCCTTAAGTGTACTAGCCTGTGAGATACATACCTTATTTAATTCAAGAAGCCTTGAACCGTCTTTTAGGTGAGCATCTTTAACCTGGTCATCATAAACTAATGACGCAATTTTCTTTTCAAATTCAGTTCTAGGTTTGAAATCAGATGTCGTTGAAGATCGTAAATCCATATCATCATCAAAATATATGGTAGGCGCCTCCCTGTTCCTCTTAATGATTGGTTCCCACTTTCGTAGTTCTTCCGTTGATTTTTCATATGCTGCCATCCTCTCCAATTTCTCTTGATCTGCTTTTGGAAGTGGAGCTGGAGTAGGAACGGATTTCTTTTCAAGATGATGTATTCTCTTTCTCAGTTTGCTATAACCAGATTTTCCATGGAGAGGGTTCAGAAGGTCTTCAATGCTAACAGGCCCTTCACCATCCAAAGTATCACGTGTAGGGTTATACTCAGACTCGGGATATGCCTCTGATACAACAACATTGGTATTCCTCTTCTTCTTCCCTGACAAAGACATTATATTCACAGGCAGTCAAGTCATTAACAAATATCCTCAAGTCATGGACAGTTAACTCTGAACGCATAATCAGTGATTTTAAACAAATCCCATCTTCGAAATTGCATCAATTTAGTTCTAAAGATAAACACAAAGTAAATTTGGCTCTAAAGTATAAGCATTGTCTTACCTTCAAAAGCCGGGATTCGTGTGCTTCCTTGCCTTCCATCATCATCATCATCATCATCACCTTCACCCCCACCCTCTCCAGCCTCCCCCATGTCATTGTCATCATCCTCAGATGACACATTTTCATCCTACAATCAATACAGATAGTATCAATGACAGAAATTCAAGAAAACCGAGCTCAAATTCATGCTATTATACAACATAAGAACAAGCTCTGCAAAGTAAGATATATCCTCATCGTCGAAGAACACATTTCGTCCTACGATAAATATGGTTAGTATTGATAACAGAAATTCAAGAATAAATAGCACAAATTCATGCTACTATGCAAATTAAGAACAATCACTACAAAGCAAAATATTACAAAAACATACACGACAAGAGACATTGTAATCCGATAGTAGCGAACCTCAAATTCATCAGGAAGCTGATACTCGAGGTTCTCGACCGGGTCGAATCGGCGGTTCTTCCTTTTCTCCTCCTCAGGCAGCTCCTCTTCGTACTCGTAAAAGTCCCGGCCATAAACCTCCGCCTCATCGGAATCAATATCTTCATCTTCGATAGGGTTTAAGCGTTCGACCTCCTTTCGGAGAACGTTGGGCAAACGAGGGCCTTTTCTCTCTCTTGCGTCGGCGCCTTTCTTCTGCTTCTTGCCGCCGGGCTTGCCTCTCTTTCCCTTTGCCTTGTCTCCGCCGCCGCCGTCTATGGATTTTCGCTTCGTCTGCGCCATGTCGTATGTGTGAAGAAGGGAAGGCGCGGTTTCGGGCGGCGAATTTGCAGCTTATTTGCGTTAGTGACGGTAAGTCGGTGACCAGTGAGGGCCGCGCAAACCTATTGCTCTGCCTCTGATTAAAATACAAATAAAAATAAAAAATGAAGAAGAAAATGAAAAATTGACCCAACCTAAAGAAAGTGAGCCTTTGCAGACTCAACTAGGCTCCTTTTTTAGGTTCACATCTGGGCCCATGCTCGGCCCATGTATTTTTCATTTTCTAGTAAGAACCCAACAGTAGATTTGACATTTTGGACCCGATCAGACATGCTAATATTAGTATTTGGATGAATGTTTAACGAGTCGGATCGCTAACGGGTGAACTCGTTAACAACCAATTAAATAACGGGTCAATTTGGGTCAACCCTTTAGTTAAGGATGTTTGAGTAATTTCAGTAAAGTCTTAACAACAAAAAATAAACTCTATGAAAAAAAAAAAAATGTTAACGGGTGAAACAGGTGACTTATTAGATTAATGGGTTGGGTTCGGATGACCCGTTAGCTTAACGGGTCGGATTGAACCCGACCCAAATCCGATAAACCCGACGCGTTTACAAGTCTACCCAATAGGTTCACATGTGTGTTGAAGCGTAGCGAGTGACGTAAGCATAAACAATTGTATCAACATACATTTTTAGCGAAACGTTGAATTCTTTTTAATCATATTAAGTAATCCATGTGATCTTGGTTAATCGTCGTACATATGTTCATCTATAATAGTTTTTGGCAATCCAAAGTCACCATCTACATGTATTGGGCCTTCATGGGCCTTAATCAATTGCTATTGTAAACTGTCGTGAGAATCGAAGCCTGGCCCATGACCCGAAAAGACTCAATGCCGTCTTTATAAAATCCAAAAACCCTAGCATGCCATCCCTTCCTACTGCCGCGGGAGAGCGAGAAAGAAGAACATCCGGCGATTTCATCAGGTTCTCCCTCTCATTTCTCTTTCCCTATCTATCTTTCTGTAGAAATCTCCAAACGAAGATCCAAGTGTTTTAATCTGCACATATTTAGATCTCTAGGGTTTATCGTTCCTGCAATCCTGTGTATTTTCCATAATTTTTGTTTTGTATCGATTGCGTTATAGGTGAGCCATGGTGAAGCACAACAACGTTATCCCGAGCTCTCACTTCAGGAAGCATTGGCAGAACTATGTCAAGACCTGGTTTAACCAGCCTGCCAGGAAGACCCGCAGAAGAACTGGTGAGTTACTATATTTCTTTCAAGTAGGGTTTACTGAGATTTGTGAGGTGTAATTTGTAATATGACTCCCGACTGTTGTGAAATGTCCACAGCTCGGCAGAAGAAGGCTGTGAAAATCTTCCCTCGGCCGACCACCGGCCCACTCCGTCCCATTGTTCATGGACAGACGTTGAAGTACAACATGAAAGTGAGGGCTGGCAGGGGATTTACTCTGGAAGAGTTGAAGGTCAGTTGGGTCGATTTACGACAATTTTATAACTTTTCGGAATTAGTGTTGTTTCTTATGGGTTGCTGATATGGTGCTTATGGTGTTATGTTTTATTGGGAACTGCTTCGTTTTGTTTTCATGTATCTTCCCATTGTCGATTAAGAAAAACCGGAAGTTTGAACATATCTGGATTGTACTACATTAGAGAAAATGATTTACACACACCCTTTTTATCGTTCTATGCCCCCCTGCTCATTTCTGTCCATTGATTTTCTTTGGTTTATTCAATCCAACAGCTAGAGATTGAAAGCATTGATTTTCTTTGGTTTATTCAATCCAACAGCTAGAAATTGATAGGCGTGTGTAGGAAGAGGAGAAGGTGTGTGGAGATCACTTTTCTTACATTAGTTTTGAAGTTAAATACTTCTTAGAATAAATACTGAGTGTTTTCACTTTTTAAACATTTCCAGTTTCATTGGTTTATTCAAGAATGCATACTATAAATATGGTCTGAAAATTGGTATCCGTAATTCAACTTTGGTTTGTTTGATTTTGCTAAAGATTTCAAGACACTTTTTTACGATGATTTTAACAAGCTGTTTACCTTGACTGCTTACCAGTCGGCTGGCATTCCAAAGAAGCTCGCACCAACCATTGGAATTGCAGTTGACCATCGCAGGAAGAATCGTTCCCTTGAGGGACTTCAAGCTAATGTACAGCGTCTGAAGACATACAAGGCCAAATTAGTGGTCTTCCCAAGACGCGCTAAGCAGTTCAAGGTGATGCTAAGTGTTTGATGAAGATTAGTTTCAAGAAAGTTGATTTTTCTGTGTGTGGTATCTTATCTGCATGTGTAAATTTTTTTGTTACAGGCGGGCGATTCTCCTGCAGAGGAGATTGCCAATGCCACCCAACTCCATGGCCCCTACCTTCCAATTGCACGTGAGAAGCCGACGGTTGAGCTTGTGAAGGTTACTGACGAGTTGAAGTCATTCAAGGCATATGACAAACTCCGTGTGGAGAGGATGAACAAACGCCATGTTGGTGCCAGGCTTAAGAAGGCAGCTGAGGCCGAAAAGGAAGAAAAGAAATAGAGAACTTTTACCCTTTTAACGAGCCATTTGAATCGTCTTCTGTTCTCGGAGGAATTTTGTTTTAGGTTATCTGTTTACCGAACTTCTTTCTTGGATACATTAATGTTAAGAGTTCGTAATGTCACTTAATTTCGTGGAATTTAAAGAGTTTATGCTTTATATCTATCTTACACGATTCATATTGTCATATTTGGCCTTGTGATTGCACTAGTTTCGGATTTTGATATCTTGAATGCATTAATAGAGATTTTTATCCATGATCATTCATTTTCATCTTCTCGTGAAAAATCTTTGTTAAACAAGGAGAAATGACAAAATATTTTCAATTTTTGTCAAATTATTTTATCTCATTGTTTATTAAACTGAGGATATTTTTGTTATTTTGGTCTTTATTTAATAGAGATTTTTCTTGGAATGATCAAAATGATTAATGGTAGACAAACTTAATGATCATTTCTATCGATTCAATCTTAGGGATAAAAGTAAGGAATTATGCTAATCTCAAAGATTATTTTGGAGAAAAAAACCTATAATAATTGGTTGATAAACAAGTGTGTTGATGGTTGATAGGTTTTGTGTTCTAAATATAGTTTGGTATAAACATTTAGGTACATAAATTCATTATAATATAGTTCGGCATAAATATTTTGGTACACTTACTCATTATAATATTTCAATACAATCATTTAGGTACACTTACTCATTATGATATACTTAGGTACGGTCATTTACACTTATGTACATATTTTTCTTATGTGTCACTGATTTTTTTTATATTGTTTTCTCATTAAGGTTTATTTATAATTGGAAAAACTAAAATGTGCATATTAATAAATTCAAAATTTTAATGTGGAGGCATTAAATAAAAAAATTAAAATATTTTTTGTTTTTTAAATTTCAATCCTTTTAATATTTAAATAAAATGAAGTTTAGATAAATGCCTGATACAAGATTCGAAATTGAGTTTTATCCCTTCTTTTATTTAAATACCAACATTTACATTCCATGTCATTTTTATTTTATTTGGCAATTTCATGAATTTTTTTTTTTTAAGTTTACACTAATTCATTATAATATATTTCACATACATACCTTGGTACGGTAACTCGTTAACAACAAGCAAACAAACGAGCTCATTATAAATCTATTTTGATACAAACATTTAGCTACACACACAAGCAAGAATTAAGATACCCAATTTTCTAGGTTCGTCGAATCACAAATCGCATACTATAAACGAAAATCTCTTACAAAAACAACGAAGACAAAAATCAGGGACGCCAAAGCGTAGGATCGAATCACAGTCCACAGTGATGCGGGCACATCAATCCAGCACCTGTATGTCAAATAAGGCAGCTGTTTCCAGAGCATTATTTCCTTCCTGTGACTGCTGCTTAATCTCCTCAGCCAATCTCACCCTCCACCCAAATCCTTCCTTCGAGGATACAAGTTTAGAAATTTCTGCAGCAGGGTGGACAACTATGGGCGGCTAGGATATTCTGTGAGCTCGATGCACCAGTTTCAGGTATAGACCATTGACGCATTCTTTGCTTTTGTCACTCGCTTGTTCAGTTTCGAGACCCTGAGCCATTTCCAAGCCAATTTGTTGAAGATACGGGACTTGTGATCAATGAATTTGCGGCGTTTGTGAGAAATAATGACAAGACAATCATAAAGACTCTCCACTTTCACACTTCTGTGTCAATCACAATTTTTCTGTCTTCCTTCCACTTTATTAGTTTTGCGGTCTCTTCATGATCTTAACACATGTTTGATCTTTTGGGTTAAACTCACTATTCACTTTTTTTTCTTTTTGGTTATATTGTAATTAACAATATCGAACTCATTTTCATCTGTCATTTTTTAAAGAATCTAAGCATAAGCTCAACTCAGTTGAATGATGAGTGAGGCCTTGACTTCATGTATATAGAGATTACATTAATATGTTTGTTACTGATTACAAGTATTCAAATTTACAAAACAACTATCAGATTACAAAGAGATATAGATAAACTAGGATTGATCGGATTGTGATATCCTTTGACTAATGTTTGAACTGGTGGAATCTGTGTGAATCGCGGGAGCTGGGATTTCAAACGTAGATGACGTGGATTGCTGACTTGGCACTATTTGGGACTTGGATTGCTGACATGGTTTGTCACTCCCCCGCAAGCTCAACGGGCGCTGGCGAATGGGGAGCTTTGAGACAAGATATGAGAACCGAGACGTTGAAAGCCCTTTGGTTAACAAATCTGCAAGCTGATCAGTAGTAGCCACGTAACCCATGTCAAGTTCCTTTCGGACGGCTTTTTCTCAAACATAATAATTAATAATCTACTTCAATATGTCGCATGCGTACTTGATAGACTGGATTTGAAGCAACTGCTAGGGCACTTATGTTGTCACACCATAGACATGGAGGAGCAACAGATAAGTGAATGTCTCCAAAAAGTTGTCTAAACCATGACAAAGTGGCTGCAGTGTATGCCAATTGACGCCTCTTTGTTGGAGTGAGAGACACCCCGTTGTTTCTTGGAACTCCAAGAGATAAGATTATCCCCTAAATAGCCATCTGTGGATCGTCGGTCATCATGATCCCCCGCATAGTCAGCATTGGCAAATGCCGTGAGTACCAAAGAACTGGGCTTGTACACGAGAGCATGGTCATGAGTGCCTTTTGAGTATCAAAGAATTCACTTCACTGCTGCCCAGTGAATGGAAGTGCGAGAATGCATGCATTAGCATACCTAAAAAGCGATGTCTGGACGTGTGAAAGGTGAGTACTGAAGAGCACCTACGACACTTCGAAATGTAGTGCCTTCAGGAAGAGAATCACCCTCATATAAGCTTAGCTTGCGTCCAGGAGCAGCGGGAGTGGTAAGTGGCTTTGCATCAGCAATGCTTCTTGAGAAGATCAAAAATGTATTTAGACTGAGATAAGTACATGGCCTGAGAGTTACGCATTATTTCCATCCCCAAAAAATAACTTAATGGACCCAGATCCTTCATAGAAAACATATTTCCAAGTTGTGCAATCAGATTTGAAATATGTGAAATGTTATTTCTCGTGATGAGGATATCATCCACGTAATCAGTAGACAACAGTTTTACCATTGAAGAACGTAAATAGTGAGGAGTCGGCAACGGAAGCAATGAAGCCCATGCCTTCGAGATGATGGGAAAAACACTGAAACTAGGCACGAGGTGCCTGTTTTAATCCATATAATGACTTACATAGACGACAGACATGAGAAGAAAACTGGGGATCAACAAAACCTGAAGGCTGGCGCATGTAAACTTCCTCAGCTAGCGTTCCATGAATGAATGCATTTTGTACATAAAGTTGTCGAATGGGCCATTGGAAATGGAGAGCAATGGACAAGATCATACGAATGGTGGCATGAGTCACAACTGGACTAAATGTTTCACTATAATCAAGGCCTTCATGTTGATGAAATCCATTGGCAACGAGACAAGCTTTATACCACTCAATTGAACCATCAGATTTTCCTTTAATGCGATAAACCCATTTGTTTGGCAGCATATTCATTGATGAATGAAGAGGAACGAGAGTCCATGTTCCGGTACGTTGCAATGCATTGAACTCGTCAGCTATGGCTGTTCTCCATTCAGGAAACTTATTGGTTTGGGAAAAACATGTAGGCTCAACTATATCATTAGATAAAACAGTATGAAAGCTGTATTTAGGATTGGGTTTCCTAATGCTATCCATTGCTCGATTGACCATTTGGTGGTGACTGAGAACAGTAGAAGAAATAGTTGGTAAACTTGAATTCACAGGTGAGGATTCTAGGATAGGTGCTACGGTAAGTGGTGGGTAGGGTTGGTTGTAGAGATTTGTGTTTGAGTTGGTAAAGGGGTGAGGATAGGATTGGTAAGTGTATAAGGGAGTTGCATGGAGAGGGTAAGTTTATGGGGAGAGGAGACGGTGGAGATGGGGTTTGTTGAGATGGGAGAGTTGGTGTGGGTTGAGTAGTGTTAATAGGATTACGATTGGGGTGAGGCGGTGGAGGTGATGGATGATAAGTTGGGGAGAAAAATGTGATGGATCAATATCTAGGATAGGGGAATTCGTTGATGAAGTTACATCCGTAGTAGGAGTGAACTCTTGGCGAGAAAGAAAAATGCGACCTGTGGACATATCTAGACATCGAAATCCTTGTTAGTTTAAAGAATATCCTAAGAAAACATATTTTTTGGATCGAAATTCAAGTTTGTTTGTGTTATAGGGTTGAAGATATGGAACACAAGCATAACCAAGAACTTAAAAAAAAATAAAAAAAAATAAAAAAATCATATTGAGGAGGTTTTGAAAACATTTTTGAAAGGGACTCTCATTACGTAAAACTTTGGTTGGTAGCCTATTAATTAGGTAATTGGCAGTGTGAAACACCTCATCCCAAAAAGAGGTGGGGATAGAGGCATGAGCAAGTAAGGTTAATCCAATTTCAACTAAATGACGATGTCTTCTTTCTGAAATTCCATTTTGCTCAGGGTGATAAGGACATATGAGACTATGATTAATTACATGATTAGCAAAGAATTGTTTGAAATTATTGTTTATAAATTCTCCTCCTCCGTTAGATTGAAAGGATTTGATGGTTGTGTTAAACATATTTTCAACAAGCTTTTTAAATGACACAAATGTAGCAACACACATCCTATTTTAATTTTTCGAAAAATCATCAACAAACACGACATAATACTTAAAACCATTCATTGAACATGTGGGAGAAGTCCATATATCGGAGTGAATAATTTCTAATGGAAAGGATGAAAAAGAAGTAGACAAACTAAATGCTAACTTATGGCTTTTATCTATGGGACATGAGTAGCAAAAGTCATGAGTTACATTACCACTAATTGGTAATTTATTTCTATTAATTAAAAGCTTCAAAACATTTGATGACGGATGCCCTAACCGAGAGTGCCACAAAATGTTTGACACTCTACTTCCTACAAATGCATGGACGCCACTGTTATTTGATGAGACATTCGAAAAGGGGTAGAATCCATTCCTCCTCCGACCATGGAAAAAGGGTATTTCCCGTGTGAAGATCTTGGACACGATAAAAGGTAGGGTAAAGTGTTAAGGAGCAATTGTTATCATTGGTAAATTGATGGATTGAAATGACATTGGTAGAAGCATTAGGGCAGATTAAGGTA